TAACCTAAACATGTCAACTACCAAAGCTGAAGGCAAAAAAGTTATAACATTAACAAAAGAATGACAATACAAACATAACGCTATCTATTGGTCCAAACCGAAATTACTTTCTTGCCAACCCAAATAATTGCTCTCTTCAGCTTTTGGATGGCCACAGAAGAAAAGATTTTCGACTATTATATTGTATTAACGTCACTTTAGCTTATATATTCCGAGAGATCGTCCAATACTCGCGAAAAGTCGAAGAAACTAATTCTCTCAATACTCGCGTTCTCCATTCGGAAAACTATTTAAGACGCATAAGTCAAGTTCGCGCCGCAGCGGGGTCGAATTTCCCGCGGATTATGCGGGTTTAATTGGACGGAACGATTTCTCGAAGAATAATACACGAAACGAACCCGGCTCTCGCAAACCGAAATTACTTTCTTGCCAAACCAATATCTTTCGCAGCGCTATCAAATTTTTTGTGCTAACAATTCATTCTTTTCTGCCTTACTCGCGTCTGGGGATGGTATCAGGAAGCACTCAGCGCGAGTGGCATCGGAACCGCACGCGGTAACACTTTTATCGACGCTTTTGCATCCGCCGGGTACATTAGCCGAGGAGGGTCTACAAAATGCCGATCAGTTTTTCCTCTTCCTGTTGGGCTCCCTTTCCCTTTCCGTTTCCCTATAAATGGATTTCCCACGGTTCACGGTGCAACCGTGAGGCAACGTTCGCCGGGCGATTCGCGCGGAGGCCAATTGAACACGCAACTCGCCGCGCCGCGGCCTTTGAGCCGAACGGACGCGGCGGGACAGTTGATCGACCCTTTCCCACCTTGGAAAGACAGGAACCCGGGCAAACCTGCGGCAGCCCGACCAAATACTTTCCACGGAAGCCGCGATATGCCTGACCGGGCGGACAATAAGGGTGAAGTGGCCGGGTCGTCATCAGGAAATCGAGTTCACTGGCCGCACAAAAATTCTCAGATCGAAAGCGATTCGCGTGTCGAGTGCAGCTGCTGCCTGCCTTGCCTGATATACCTCGCCAATCTAGTTTGTTCGCATTTTTCAAACTTATCGTCGTTTCATCGGCTGTATTTTTCAATCAAAAGTTCATTATTTCTGTTTAGTTTCTGAACATTATAAATTTTCACCTATTTCGTTGACGTTTTAGGTAGGCTATTGTGTCTATAAAGAGTACCTTGATGAATTTGTTGGAGAAAATTGCTAATTAAAGTTGTAAATGATTCTAAGTAGAAACATATTCGGACACCTTTTAAAATGCAACAACTTTTTTAAAACTGAACTAAAAGACTTCGATTTTGTTGACATTATAGGAGGACCAGTCTACTAGATCAGAACTAGAATACTTTTTTTTTTAAATTTTGCTGTTGTTTAGAATGACAAAAGAAAATAAAGAATTCTCATTTTTCAACATTTTATCCGAGTCAATAACGAAAATTTCAAAAATGTGTTTCGTAGATATATCTCGGTGAGTTATATACATGCTGAAAACTTCATCGAAAGCGTGAAAAGATTTTCACAATTACAAGTTCAAAACTTCTCACTTATATATCGGTCTAAAGTGTCAATAACTATAAAAACGAGACGCAAGACTCGAATAGTCGCATCTCTTCTTCCCAAATTGTCCATGTTTGTTTACAACCTTGGGAAAATTCGAGAGAATTTACTGTAAATAGAAATATTCGAGCAGCTCCGTGTAATCGAATGACGTAATTGTAGGTGGTTGATGTAAAGACTTATCTGTGGGACATACTTTTAAACGCATCATTACCAAATGAATCGTGCACCAAGTGACATAGTTACCAGATCAAAGCATTTCATGAATTAAACAATGGTCTTTAAAAGTTTTGTCATCAATTTGAAGCGTCTATGGGCTATTTTGTTATGTTTACTATTTGAACTATTTAAACGTATTTATGGATACCGAAAGGAGTTTCAATCGTATACATCGATTACTACAACAATGTTTTCAATTATCAAAATTCATCGTGCACTCTGATTTGTCCGATTTTAATTTTCGCCAGTAACATATCATTTAAAAACTGTACTGTTTGCTTTGTCTCCTTATCTGGCAAGTAATAGAGAAAGTAGAAATAAAAGACTTTCAAACTCATCGTGCTACATGCGCATTCTTCCGCTTATGCTAATAATTGATAACATTCGTCGGTGAACTTGAATGGTGTAACTCTCTCGCTACAAAATCGGTACGAACCACGATTTCACTGTTCCGACATTCCGCGGAAATCAAGAATCTCTATTGAAACGTGTTCGACGAGAGGAAAGGTTGATACCTGCAATAAGGGCCAAACGAATAGTATAATTTAGAAATAATGCAGAAGATAAAGTAAATAATTTTTGAAAGT